GCCAATGAGAAACATCGGAGCCCTCGGGCCCAACAACTTGCTTATATTGAAAAGCGCGCCGATGACGATCCCCGGGGTCCCTGGCTATTCCTCGACCTCGCGCGCATCCTGGATGCCAAAGGCGATCGAGAAATCGTCCGTCTGATGTTTCCATGTGGGGAAAGCATCTCGACAGGAATTGTCCATTCGGTCCCTTGTATGACGGGACAAAGCTAATCGTCGAGCAAATTTCCAGCTAAGCTGGAAACCTGCATCGGCGAATCATGCTCCGTGCTTATATATCTGTATATATATATGTATATATATATATATATATATATTCAGGCACCTTGGGGCGTTTCGCCGGCGGTGTCTCCCCCGTGCTGTCTCTCGCGTGTTCTGTCTGGGACACGCCTATCATTGTTTTTTATATCTCTCTCTCTCTATCTCATTTTCTCTCTCTCTCTCTCTCTCGCTCTCTCTCTCTCTCTCTCTCTCTCTCTCTCTCTCTATGCTTGAAAAGATCTCAGAACGAATGTCATCATATTCCACGAAGGCAAAGAGGTCACGACCGAACTGATCATCCTGTCCAATGGTTGAACCAGCGTCGAAGCACCCCCGAGTTGGGACGAAAGGATCGTCAATCAATGATATGACGGGAACACCTGGGGGAATATGACCTGCTGCAGCATTCGTAGAATAATTTGAATGATCCCTGATGGTTTCAAAAAGCACTCGTAATTCATATCGTTAACCATAGTCATTTGCACGCCAGGTACAACAACGAAGTTTTCGGCTGGTCACCAGTCACTTTCCATAGGAACGCGGTTCCAGGCCAAATTGGGAGATCATGATGATAGTAATGACACGGTCTCATCGCTCGAAAGTGGTAACTCTGGCATGTCTTCAATAACATGTTAAGCTGTATATCAATGGGTGCAAGAGAAGAGAAAGGAAGAGGGATGACGACGAACCCTCTCGTGTGAAGCGCGCTCAGCGGGGACCGCGGTGCCCGCTCGTTGATCTCTTAGGCAAACAGCTGCTTCGGTCGGCGGCAGGGAACGGAGCGGGAGGAGAGATTAAACAACTGTCTGCGCATGACGTCACTCCGCTGACCCCTTAGCAGCCCTCGACAGTTTCGCAGACCGCAGCCCCCCAGGGATGGCGAGGTCTAATTCAGGTCTGCGTGGGACGTCACTCCGTTGGGCCCCCCAGCAGCCCTCGAAAGTGGTGACAGTTTCGCAAACCGCAGCCCCCCCCCCAGGGATGGCGAGGTGTAATTCAAGTTTGCGTATGACATCACTCCGCTGGACCCCCCCCAGCAGCCCCCGAAACAGGCGACAGTTTCGCAGATCGCAGCCCCCCAAAGATGGCGAGGTCGAATGTAGGTTTGCGTATGTCATCGCTCCACTGGACCCCCCAGGAGTCCCCGAAAGTGGCGACGGTTTCGTAGACCGCAGCCCCCCCAGGGATGACGAGGTTTAATTTAGGTCGGCGTATGACGTCACTCTGCTGGACCCCAGCAGCCCTCGAAAGCGGCGACACTTTCACAGATCGCAGCCCCCCTGGGATGGCGAGATCTACTCTGAGCCTGCGTATGACGTCACTCCGCTGAACCCCGCGAGCAGCGCTCGAAAGTGGCAACAGTTTCGCAGCTCGCAGCCCCCCAGGGATGGCGAGGAAGGAGGGTAGCAGGCAAGTAGGAGGCAGGGCAGAAGGCAGGTAGGAGGCAGGGTAGCAGGCAGGTAAGAGGGGGGAGAAGGGAGGCGGGAGGAGGTCGCGACCGCAGTGCTCTATTCACAACGAGAACCCAAACCCAACGCAGGATGGTTGGGCTCATAAACTCGCGCACGGACCCCAGCCAAACGGAAATCAAACAACGTCGCTATTGATTCGAAGGAATGCCCCTTCCCTTTGATACCTTCCCTGCCAGAGGTGGGGGGAGGGCGTCCCGGGGGGGGTCATAGGGGGGGTCCTGGGGGGGCAGTACGGGGGGGTCGCGGGGGTCGTGACCTCCCCCCGGGGGATCCCCCCTGTGGACAAGGGGGACGGGAGTGGTCTCCCTGTGGACAGGGGAACTCAGGACTCCTCCCCACGTCTCCCCCGCGGACAAGGGGACCACCCCCAGTCCTCCCCCCCCGGAGCACCCTCCTCACTCGTACCTGCTGGTGTGGCTGGTGCGTGTTTCCCTACATGCCTCCCAGAAGCCCCAGATCCGCTCCGAGGCGGCTCCCAGCGACCAGGGAGCTTCCCAAGAAGCTCTCCTCCTCCTCCTCCTCCTCCTCCTCCTCCTCCTCCTCCTCCTCCCCTCCTCTCTCTCCTCCTCCTCCTCCTCCTCCTCCTCCTCCCCTCCTCCTCCTCTCCTCCTCCTCCTCCTCTCTCCTCCTCCTCCTCCTCCTCCTCCTCCTCCTCCTCTTCCTCCTCTTCATCAATGTACCTCCTCTTCCGTCCTCCTCCGTGTTCCTCCGCCTCCTCCTTCTCATCATCACCATCCTCCTCCTCCTCCACCGCATCTTCCTTCCCATCAGCATCAGCAGCAGCAGCAGCAGCATCAGCATCACCATCGTCATCAGCAGCAGCAGTAGCAGCCAGAACCAGACCCCGCGGATAATAAAACATCCCCCCTGAATCGCTGCATCTGGTTATCCACGGGATTAAATGTGGCTCAATTGCCATAACAGGCGGGGAGGCCGTAGCTCTGATCTTCATCTCATGCATAGCAACATGGATAATCCAGATTTCCACTTTGGTGAGGAATTCTTTGGCCAAACGTACAGTTTCGAAGATTCGCCGAATCCGCTACGATCACCTGTACATGGATGTCCGGGAGAAAATCAACCATCCTCCCTGGACACCGAATTTTATCATCCCCCGGGTACTATTATCATCGGCATGCGGTGTAGCATCCTCACCATCATCCTCCTCATCATCATCATCACCAACATCATCATCAGCAGCAGCTGAATCACCACCACCACCACCATCATCACCACCACCGCCACCACCACCACCACCATCATCATCATCATCATCATCATCATCATCATCATCATCATCCTCATCATCATCATCATCATCACCATCATCATCATCATCATCATCAGCATCATCATCATCAACATCCTCGTCAGCATCAGCACCATGACCATCATCATCAATATCAGCATCATCAGCATCAGCATCATAATCGTCGTCGTCATCGCCATCGCCATTGCCATAGTCGTCGCCATCATCATCAACAGCATCATCATCAGCATCATCATCACCAGCATCATCATCAGCAGCATCATCATCATGATCATAATCAGCATCATCATCATCCTGATTATCAGCATCATCGTCGTCGTCGACATATGCATCGTCATCATCACCACCACCATTATCATATTAATCATCAGCAGCAGCAGCATCATCAGCCTTATCAGCATCAGCATCATCATCATCATCAGAAGCAGCATCAGCATCAAAATAATCAGCATCACCATCATTACCATCATCCGCATCATCGCCAGCATCAGCATCATCCTCAACAACATCATAATCGACATCATCGCCGCCACCATCAAAATCACCATTATCAGCATCAGCCGCATTATCGTCACAATCATCATCATCAGCATCATCATCTTCGTCACCACCACCAAACATCATCATCGTCATCGTCGTCGGCATCTTCATCGTCATCGTCGTCACCATCATCATCAGCAGCAACATCATCGGCGCCATCATCATCATTACCAGCTGCTTCTACCCCGAGACTCTTTCAGAACAACATGAAATGAACCGCAACGTTCCTGCGAGCAAAAAAGACCTCTGTACCGAAGGCTCGGGAGAGTCGACCGACGCGAACGAGCATCAAACTGACTACCCCGACGGCCAGTGCGCAGATACGCTGTACCCGCAGAGAGGAGGAGGAGGAGGGGAGGCGGAGGACCCAGAGAGACCATGGAAAATGTGATGCCGCAGGGTTGTCTGCGAACCTGCGCCCAACATCCCCGAGACTCTCTCAGCCCCAGCTGCAAACCGAGCCCGCTCTATTAGCTGCTTCTACTCCGAGACTCTTTCAGAACAACATGAGATGAACCGCAACACTCCTGTGAGCGAAAAAAGACCTCTGCACCGAAGGCTCGGGAGAGTCGACCGACGCGCACGAGCATCAAACTGACTACCAATTTTAGGGGACCTGTCCTACAGCAACATTCCTTCTGCCAAATTTAGCGGGCTCTTCTACGCATTGGAAGCATGCACACCGAGAGGAAACTGCATGGCAATGCCGGCGTCCTGGTAAAGACCAGCGAGCTGTCGAACGAGCGCTGGTGGGTAAGGGTTGGCACGCCGAGCCCAGTGAACACCACTGTCACCTCGGCCTCGCAGCAGATGGTGAGCCTCACTAGTGAAAGAGCAGAATCCGCGCCCAGTGCACCTCTTGCGCAGCCGTGAGGCATCGGGCAGCAGAAACGTTCGAAATCGAGTCGGTTTCTTCCATGCAGTGCCCCAAACGCAGTAGTGAGTGATGGCATCTAGCACTTGTGGGACAGCTGAGATGCGGATCGCGTCTGGCATGTGCCACATGTAGCTACACTGCGGGTTTTCCCAGAGAAAAGGGATTCGGCATCTAATGCACTGGTCGAATATTCTCACAGCGTTGTGAAACAACTTGTTGCCCTCATTGACTTGAGACTGCAGGCGGGGCGGTAGCCCAGGAAGGCCTGCTGGATACTGCTTTGATCGGATAGCATTGTGCCCACCACGGGCGATCGAGAAGGTCGCACATGGAACACCCGCCAGCACGCCGAGACACTGGCCTGATCTGTCGAGCTTCAGGACGCGTCGCATCACACCAGGGCGAAGGAGGTCGCCTTCGGGCCCCTGGAGGATGTCAAAGGAGTAGACCTTGCATCGGCGTCGCCGCATGCTGGTGCTCCAGACCTCGGACCCCGCGAACAGCTCTATGTAGAATGGCTGGTAGTTCCAGAGGGGGTCCGCTGTCTTGCGGCGCCGCTGCCGCAGAAGTGCGCCACGAGCTTGTCGGCTAATGCGGCCGCGGCTGTCTCGCAGTACTGGCGCTGGCGCACACTGAGGTTGTTCCAGACCTCCTGCAGCAGGCCGCGCTTCTCGTAGCGCCGCACGCTGCTCAGCGTGCGCCAGCGTCCCCTCTTGGCGACCTCGTCGAGGTTCAGCTGGCCCTCCTGGCGGTCGATGCTCGCCCCTGAGTGGCGGGCCATGTAGAGCACTGGCGGTGCGAGCCCCACTCGCGCGGCAGCGCGGTCGAACAGGTCCTCCAGCTGCGACAGCATGAGCGGCCACGGCGGCAGCCCGCGGCGGCTGGAGGCAAGGGCGACAAGACACGCCCCGATCCAGCGTCGCGAGATCGTGACGGTCTCGTCCATCTCGCCTGTCTTGGAGGCTCTCAGCATGTAGTCGGGGTTGATGTGAATGACCACGTCCGTGACGGTCCCGTAGGGCCCCAAGACCTGCGCTGCAGAGAGCCCCATCGCCTCGCCTGGCCGCAAGTACGTGTCCACCATCATGATCCAGGCCAGGGCCGCCTCGAAGCCGTAGGGCAGGCTGACTGTCGCTGCCTCGGCCAGGATCTGCATCGCGACCGCGCAGCAGACCGCCCAAGGCAGTGGCCTGCGCGTCTTGGCAGGCGCGAGCCTTCTCCAGCCCCGCAGCGCCCGCCCCGCCCGTGGCAACGGCAGGCGGCCCCGAACGTGATAGTCTGGGATGAACATCATGAGGGCTGCGATGAGCTTCTCGCCCGTGGAGGGTGCCTTCCCTTCCAGGCACAGGCGATCGAAGAACTGCACGACCCGTGCGTCGAGCGAGCGGGCTGGCACGATGAGACTGGTAAGGCCACAGAAGATCATGAAGGCAGAGAGCAACCGGTTGTAGCTGGTGAAAGTCCGCTGCTGGACGGCTGCCTGCTCGGTGATCCCCAGCTGGTGCATGGCGTCGCGGGCAGGTCCGCGGGTGGACTGCCGCGCGTAGGCCCGCCGCCTCTCGTTCACGTTGAGCGACCCCGCCCCTGGCCCCCCTGCGGCGCGCGCGCCGAACGCGGCCGTCTCGAGCTGCGTCGTCTGCTCGGCCGCGGTCAGCAGCGGAGCCGTTGGCGTGCCCGAGCTGCGCGCGGGCTGCAGGCCCAGCCGGCGCGGACCGCGGGGCGGCCGCGGGGGCCGCGGCGCCGCCCCCGCGGCAGAAGGCGCCCGTCGGGGGCCCGTCCTCGTCGGGCGCGGGGCCCCCCCACGCCTCGGGATCGGCGGCGCGTCCAGCGCTGGCGCCGCGGCCCTCGCGAGCGCCAGGCGCGGGCCTAGTCGCGGGGGGTGCGAGTCCAGGCGGGGCGAGCGCGACCGGCAGCGGCTTGCCAGACCTGCGCCCCCAGCGGCTGAGCTCATCCGCTGGGTGCAGCTCCGAAGGCAGCCATCTGCGACACACGACTGCGCCCGTCAGAAGCAGCAGGGCGGACCAGCGGCGCATGACATTGAGAAGCCGCGCATCTCGAGCCCGACCCTTCGACGAAGCGAGAGAGAGGCCCAGGTTGTCGCCCACGAGAAGCACCCGTTTACCCCATCGTTGTGGGTCACACAGATGTACACGAATTGCCTCGGCTACTCCTCGGGCTCCCCTACGATGCATGGCCTCGGGGCCCCTCGCCTGCGATGCTGGAAGACCCACTTGCCAGCCCTAACATACTGGGGAGAGATCTCGGGGAAGCTCGGATCCACCTCGCCGACCTTTCGCACGTCGTCGATCGATCGCACGTCCCCGTCCTCGCCCTCCAGCTCCTCGGCACCTCTCGCTCGGTCACGTGGTCGGTAAGCACCATCATCAGATCGAGTACGTCGGCATCGCCACCTCTCCTGCCACCTCCCCGCTCGCTTGACGAAGTCGATCGGCATATCGGCGATGACGGACGCGTGACCCGTCTCGCACGCGTCGGCGGCTATAACTGTTTGGGACCACTCGGCGTCCAGACGACGAGATAACAGGATGAGGATGCCCTGGAAGATTCTGAGCTCACAGCCCACAGAGTCCCACAGAGGATCCCACTCGACAAAACCTGCGCGAATGAAAGCGCACACTGCGCAGAAGCTGGCAAGGGCCCCGCGCCGAACCAGCGCGCAAAAGGTGCAATGGCCTATGAGATGCTCGAGCTCGCTGCTGGTGGCCCGACGCCTCACCTCGACCAGGTACTGGATTCCGAAGTACAGCTTCCAGAAGCGCTTCTCTGAGAGCTGAACGGTGGGAGGCGAGCCTGTCAGCCTGACGCCCAACATATCCATATCCTGCGTAGCGTCCTCCTCACAGTGCACTGCGAGGTCCTGCGTGGCGACGGCGGCAGAGGCCTGGCGTCTCCTCGAGGTGACTTCCGCCCCACTGGTGCCTACCAGCAGCACGTTGTCGACGCACAGCGAGTGGGCTGGCCCATCGTGCACCGAGGGAGGCGGTCGGAAGTCGACAGCCCTTGGGCAGGTCGCGAAGAGGGGGTGGCCGCCCAGAGAGACTTCGCGGGCCCTCTGCACCATGTAAAGCCCCCAGGACCAGCCCATTGGCAACACGGACATCTGCGGGCACACGACGCCCCACGGCTCGACAGGTCGGCCCAGCACGCGCGTCACTCCCACAGCACCAGCGCGCACCCGCGGCAAGCAGAAGTAGTCGCACAGGTAGGACGGCAGGCGGTGCTGGTAGAAGGCACTCTTGACGCCCAGCCCCCCGTACCAGGCTGTCTGGCCAGCCTCCACCTCGAAGTCGCCGAAAGCGGCCCCGCTGAAAAGCGCCGCTGGGTCGGGCTTGGCGAACCTCTGATTAGATCGGCGGCAGTCCAGCACCAGCCTCAGGCCGCCGTCCTTCTTTGCGACGAAGAAGACAGTCACATCCCCCCGTCGATGACGGCCGGCACGGAAGCAGCCTCGCGCTAGACCATCTCGGACAAACTCATGGCAAGCATTTGCGCGATTTGTCAAAACAGGATCCATAAAGAGTAGAGGCCGCTGCGCAGTCTTGATCACCTCCTCAAGCTCGGGCTGCGGCAGCACGAGCGAATGGTCCCGATCCAAGAGAATAGACCGGTCCCGAGCGGTGAGCCTGTCTGTCAGCCACCCAGGTCGGTTGCCGACGTCAGGCCAGGAGACCAAGTGTCGCGCAAAGGATCGTAGCGGCGTAACCTCCCCAGCGTAGCCGAGGAGGGGTTGTCCCAGCAGCTCCCCACAAGCCGTCCGAAGCGAAGGCGAAGGCCGGCGTGCGGAAGTCCGCGCCCGTGGAGGGCTGCCGGGCACTGGACAGAAATAACACAGATCATCGCTATGCGTCAGGAAATCCTGCCCACGGCTCAATCAGTCCACCGCTTACAGGGTCGCCCCTGCGACCAGATGCCCATTGGCTGCCACTGCAACAGTTTCATTGACCATCTGTCGTCTGTGGAACTGTCCGTCTTCTCCAGGAGAGCAGCATTTCGTGATTGTTGCAGAACGACCAATGATCGAAAGCCAGCGTTCTCGTAGGCCGCGTCGGCTCTATGAGTAGCCCTGACCAACCAGTCCACCCACGGCTCCACCTCCATCTCCTGATCGCCGCAACTCCCAAAATGAAACCTCGGGGTGCAGACGATTTTCCGCAACATCCGTCTCCTTTCTGTTTGCAGCCGTTGTTCCCGATCAGTTGTCATTGTCCAACTGCCGCTTCCGTATGGATTTGCATAGGCAATAACAGCGCCAAAGAGCTTCAACCGGGAATTGAGAGAATAATGCTTATCACATAATACTTTACGAAACTTCCCGAAAGCTGACCATCCTTTATCCAGTCTGTGGCTAATCGCAGAATCATGGAACTCGTCGAAACAGGGAAAGCGCCCTAGATACGCTGTGCCAGAATCATGTGACAGAACTTCAACATTCCCCTCCCCCACCTTCACGTGCGACTGTCGGAGAAAACCTTTACGGGCGCGCGCATTGGAGATAATTTGTGTCTTCCCGCTATGAAGTCCCAGACCCACTTTAGCGGCCACCCGGCTGAGGTCTTCTAGCACGTGCTTGACCTGCGCCCTGGTTCTCCCCAGCAGTAAGATGTCATCCGCGAACCGCAAGTTGGTCATGAAGATTCCGTCAATTTTGATTCCAAAGCGTTTCGCCCGCCATGTCTCCTTCAAACTGCGCATCAAGTCCTCTAGCACAGCGTTGAACAAACTTGGGCTCATGGGGTCACCCTGCTTGGTGCCCCGCTGCACAGGGAATACAACACTCTCCCTATCCGAAACAACCTGCCCGAATTGATTGTCGTAAAGCTTGGTCAGTACTGCTATGTAGATCTCCGGTACCCCCTGCTTTCTCAGCGCGCCCCATCCGCATGCTCAACCGATGCGAACGCCTTCTCGAAATCGACCGCGGCAACCCACAAATCCAAATTGAACGCCGACATCTTTTCGCACAGGAGCACGACGGATAGCAAGTGGTCGTCGCAACTGAAACCTCGGCGAAAACCCGCTTGATCCATCGACTGCTCGTGAGCGAGAGATTGGACCAGCCGGTAATGCAGCACCATGCTGAACAGCTTGTATAATATCGGCAAAACTGAAATCGGCCTGTAATTCGACGGCAACTATGGATCTCCTTTCTTGAACAAAACCTTAATGCATGCGTTCCTCCACGAGTCTGGCGGCTCATCCTTTTCTGTCAAAATTTGCGCGAAGACCCCAGCTACGATCCCGAGCAAAAACTCCCCGCCAGCTTTGAACTCGGCAACAATGTGAGTATTATCGGACGCTTCCCCTCTCTTCATGTTTCGGATTTGCTGTCTCACCTCCGCAACTGTGACATGTGGAATATGCTCTGCCCTCTCCTCCCCACCATACAGAAAAGGCCCACCTGCGCTTGCATCTGCATAGAAATCTTCATAAAAGGAAGCAAACACATCAACTATACTCTGACTGTCTGCGTGCACTTCGCCGTTCTTATCCCTCACGCTTGTCAGCCGACGCTTCCGGTGCCTGTTGTCGATGTCCTGCATGTGAGCGATCCCGCGGTGCTGATCCAAAATGCTGGCAATGCGTGTTTTCCCTCTCTGTCTCTCCCACGCCCGCAATGCTTGCTGAAGCTCTTCACTGATGACACGCAAAGACCTGTGATCGAACTCCCCCTGGGCCGCCTTGGCCCGTTTTCCTGCATCGATGAGTTCACGAATCGAGACCGGCAGCTTCTCTTTCTTCGAGGTTGGCCCCCTGGACGCGCACATGCGCGTTGCCTCGCGAAGGGCGCTGTCAATGGCGCCGCACGCTGCCGACGCACACATCCCTCCCCCCGCACCGCTGCTCATTTTGCTCTGCAGCGACGCCGTGACAATTTTCTCATACTTGCATGTGTCAACAAAGCGCCAATCTATACGACATGCGTTCCTTTCTGTCGCTTTTTTCCGCCTGCATCCGGGCAGAAACATTGACAACTTGACCGCCCGATGGTCCAGCCCAACTCCAATGTCCCCGTTGGCCTCAGAATCTGCGGTCATACCCATGGCCCGCGCATCAACACAAAAGCAATCGATCTGTCTCTGTCGGCGGCGTGCAATGCGCGCCCAGATGTTCCCAAAATCCGCCGGGGAAAAAGCATTGGTGATCAACTGGCGTTCCGAGGCCGCCCACCTTGTCAGCACGTTTCCTCGTTGATTTCTCCTGCCCAGCCCACGTTCCCCAATACACCGCTGGCTACCCGAAGAAGCACTTTGCCCCACTACTGCATTCCAATCGCCACCAGATACAGAAAAAAAGATTACGTCTCGCAGCCCCCCTCTTCAACTCCGAAAGCTTTTCGTACATCTCCTCTACCTCGCAGTCATCGCCCCACGAGCGCGGCATGTATACAGACACCATCCTGAAAGAAAACCGTCCAATCTCCACGTCTGCCCAACACAACCTGCCACTACATGATGCGAACGCGCGGACTGTCCTCGACCATCTCTTATGCAACAAAACCGCTACTCCACGTTGATTCACGGCCCCCCCAGACCCCAAGAATAGATGTCCGCTCTCAGTAACAAAATGCCCCTCTCTGCCTTCCCTCCACGATTCATTCACAAATAAGACATCCCAGTGGCTCAAAGCATCCGTGTCTGCAAGAAGATCCTGGAAGCGATCGTCCGCTTTGATGGATTGCACGTTCGCCGAATACAGAACAAACTTATTTTGCCTTTTGGTCGCCCTCCGTTGCCAGACCCAACCGCCCCCTCGGAAATTGGCCCCGCAGGCGCCCCCAAGCAAGCAGGCAAACCCCCACAAACTTCACGCAGCCTTCCTCGCCCCCCACCAGCGCTCGCCCAAGAGCTTGTCTTCGACAATATTGGAGAACATGTCCGTGTTGAGGCCTGTGCCGACATCCTTGTACTGGCACAAACTATGTATTGTTTCATTGTTCGGTTACCCCCGCCTTCCCCCCCTTGCTGCCCGCCATTCGTGCATGCTGTCTTCGACCATCTTCTGGATAGATTCCGCCTCACCGAAGGCACGTAACACTTGGCCCTCGGTCACCCACGCAACTCTCTTGAACTGTATGGAAACAACGCCCTTTTTCCAGTTGATGCTAACATCCTGCTTCGGGATTCTTTTGTCCTCGATCAGATGGTACTTTACTCTCCCCAGGGTTTTGTCTCGGACTCGCTCCTCGAACGCGCGGTTGGTTGCAAACCAGTCCCTTCCATCAATGTTTCTGTTCGCTCCTCGGATTTTCCGATAGAACCCTATCTTCGCAGCTTCGGTTTCGAATTGCACCACTCCTATGTTGGTGGGGTCTGCGAACGCGAACACCCAATTTACTTTCTGCCTGCGAGCCCCCTCCTGGAGAGACTTCTCAATGGTTACGACCACTTTATCCCCATCCGTGTCATTCTCGAAACCGCCCACAACGATCTGCAGGTGCCGGCGGTTCCCCCCCTGGTCCTCCTCTTCATCCGCCTTGTCCTCGTCCTTCTGCTGCTTAGTCTGGTCTCCCTCCTCCCTCAGTTTGTCCAGCGCCTCCCGGACCTCCCCTGCCACGATGATCTCGACTGTCTCCTGCAACTCCTCTTTCGAAGTGTACTCTTCCATCATCTTATTGACGCCTTCCTCTGTTACGAGTAGGCCCATATCCGATGTCATGTCGATCTCGAGATCCCCAATCCTGTCCTGCACCTCCTCCGCCAACGTCTCCCCCCCCCCCACACCACCACCACCACCCGCCCACCCACCCCACCCCACCCCGCCCACCCCGACCCCCACCTTCACCTCCTTGATCGCATTTTTCAACTTGCGGGCTTTATCTGCGATCTTCTCGAACTTCTTACTCTGCCGCGCCTCGAAATGTTGGAACCATTCTGGCGCATCAACTCCGACCACCGTGCCCCCATCCCCAAACATGCCCTCGTCGCTCGACCCATTCTCTACGGCTTCCTTTTTCTTCGCCCCCTTCCTCTCCGGCGCGGAGCCAGTAGCTGCGCCTGCACGCTTGGACATCGCATCCCAAGTATCGAGCGCCAGCTTACTCAACGCAAGATGTGCC